TCATTACGTATATATGGATGTTGACTTCCTCACCATAAAAATATCCACATTGTTACCTCTGCCTAAATTCTTTTCCTCAATTAAATGAGAGTGCATTTTAATATCTATTAAATAATAATTAATAAATCAAAGAAACCAAGGAAAATGACCAAGTAATGCTACTCAAAATCCCAAAGTTCTTTTTTTTTTTTTTTTTTTTTGGTCATAAAAAATGAACTTTTCAGTGATCGGTGAAAAAGTAAAACAAGAAAACAGTCTTCAATTTGGAGAAAAATAAAGCAAAAAAATAAAACTAACAAGGGAAAGTGAATGCAACACAATCAAAACAAATATCATGAGTGTAATTATCAAACAAAGAGCACCAATGAATAGAGTAGAACTTGGACAAAACAATAGACTCCCTCCAAGATAATAATTGATCTTTGAAAAAAGATAGAACCACTAAGAGCCAACACAATGCTGAATAGAATAGGAAATCTCTTCTTGCAGGAAGAAACACCCTGCACTCCAAAACTAAATTTGCTTGCCAATGCCAACCTTTTTTTTTTTTTTAAGGATGTGAACTATAATGCCAACCTCTATTGATAACCTTAAAGTAATGCTAATTAATATTAAGTATAATCCTTCTTAAAATGTTCTTTAAAAATACATGTTCAAATATGTGCTTGCGACTGAAAACGCCAACCTCATTGCCAATCATTCAATCAGAAACAAGAAGCAAGCAAATTTAAGTAAGATGCACATCTGAATAATGTGATATTTCAAAAGTGTGCACCTTGAAATGAAACCCAAGAGACGATTGAATCCTGAATCATCCCGTAGTTCATGTTGAAAACCTAGAAGTTAAATAAATACTAATTGTTAGAGATAATGCGTAAATGTAACAAAATAATACAAGTTTTCAAGGATTCTAAATAGCAGGGTGGGACAAAATATGGAGAATTAAAATCAATTGCAGATAGCTGTATGTTTGCATTGACATCCGGTGGCACAGTCTAAGCCGCCGTCTAAACAGTAATAAATAAAAATAACAGTTGTGAAATAGCAATACACGAAAGCATTTCGGAATTGACAAAGAACATCCTACAGTTTTAAGCCAACAACCATCTGTTCTGGATCGCATAAAGAAGCTTCCTATTTTTCTCGATCATGCTTGGACAAATTACAATAGATAATGTAGCCACTGGTTGAAATGAAAAGTAAATACATACCAGGGCTATGTTGGTCAAGCGACCCAAGTTTGAAACATGAAACTGATCCATCATTTCTCCCAATCACGAGACATCCAGATATAGCAGAGACGCTGGTTACTGGTTTGCTGTCCTGATGAGTGTGCAAATTAAACTCCACAACCTCATCAAGAGGAATGACAGAGCAGGATATGTATGAGGAAACATTTCGCAGCTTCAAACAATAAGCGATCCCGGACGAAGTCACGGCGTACATCAAGAAAGGATGTCCAGTAGACGAACTTATCTGCAGTGTTACACGGCCATAAATAATACGTCGAAATATTCCAACAGGCTGAAAATTCAGACTAGGAAAATGGAAATTAACCTCGTTAGTGCAGACAAACACGGCTGGGTGAAGTGTTTCCGGAAAGGCAATTCGAAGACCAATCCTACGAAATTCATTGGCAGTTGAAAACTGAAGCAGCTCGACCACATGAGGTCGAATCTTCCGAATCCTCCTGATGCGTAAGAAGAATGGAAGGGCAACAGGGCTTATTAGCACCGAACCAGGGAGTCAATAAAGTGCGAGGGAAATCAGGAACATACCAGATGAGATAGGTTGGAGGATCTCCTACGACGGCGCAAGAGGCATGGTCCTCAGTGAATGAGGTGCAAGCTGGTGGAGCAACGGAAGTAATGGCGCCATCTCTTAATGAGGAAGAAGGAACAGAAACATCGAATTCTACAGCGTCGGTAGCCATGATCGAGGTCTCCATTCCGGTTAATGGCACCCGACGCCCCATGTTCTCCGTTCTTGTCGGTTTCATTCACTGTCTGCAGCAATCCTTCTCTTGTGAACTGAACGTAGCTAGAACCCTACTTCTGGTTTTTGTCACAATCGGCTGGGAATACTTTTTGCTTGGATTTAATTCTTTTGTTTTTTTAAGATTAAAATAAATTACATTAATAATATTTTTAAATAGTTAAATTAATAAAAATTAAAAAATATATATATTATATACTTTTAGGTTACATTAGTAATATTTTTTTTAGTTTTAATTATATTTCTAAACTTAAAAAATGACAGATACTCCTTAACACTTTATTTCAAAATTATCTAAAAAAGTATTTATAAATAATTTTAATATTATTTTTTATATACATTATTTTTTTAATTTTATTATTTTTAATTTCTTTTTCTTACCTTTGGTTTAATTTTTTAATATTATTTTGTTATTTTATTATTTTTAATTTCTTAGTTTCTTTTATATATATATATATATATAATATTTCGTATTATAATAAACTAACATATAACTATTAATAAATTTTATACATATAATTATATCATAATTTTTTTTTTATTATTGTTTTATTATTTTTAATTTCTTAATTTCTTTTATATATATATTTTATAATTACCTTAATATTTCGTATTATTTTTATATAATTTTATAATAGGCTAACATATAACTGTTAATATATCACCATTTATATATATTTTTTAATTATTTTATTATTTTTAATTTCTTTTTCTTACCTTCGGTTTAATTTTTTTATATTATTTTTTATACATAGCAACATTATTTTTTATTATTATTTTTAATTTCTTTTTCTTAACTCTGGTTTAATTTTTTAGTTTCTTTTTATATATATATATTTTATAAATACATCGATATTTCGTATTATTTTTATATATTTTTTTATAACACTCTATTTTTTATTTTTCTAAGGTAATATAACTTTATAATAAGCTAACATATACCTATTAATAAATTTTATACATACAGAGTCCAGGTATCATATACGCCCCAAAATAAAGAGCTTTGAATACTAGAAGAGAAGCACCTATACCTAACAAAATTAAGTGAATACCCCAAAATGGTAGTCATTTTATTTCTATCTTTCCACACATAACCGAAGAATGGGGGAGATTCTCTCGGGTCCCAGCAATATTATTATATCACAATTTATATATATATTTATTTTATTTTATTTTTCTTACCTTTGTTTTTTAAATATTATTTTGTTGTTTTATTATTTTTAATTTTTAGTTTCTTTTATATATATTTTTTATAAATATTTTAATATTTCATATTATTTATATATATATATATATATATATATATATATATATTTTTTTTTTTAATTTATTTTTCTTGCTTTTGGTTTAATTTTTTAATATTATTTTGTGATTTTATTATTTTTAATTTCTTAGTTTCTTTTATATATATATTTTATAAATACCTTAATATTTCGTATTATTTTTATAACACTTTATAATAAGCTAACATATAACTATTAATAAATTTTATACATATCATTATTATATCACAATTTATATATATTTTTATTTTTTATTTTTCTAAGGTAATATAACTTTATAATAAACTAACATATAACTATTAATAAATTTTATACCTACAATTTTTATATATATATATATATATATATATATATATATTTATTTATTTATTTATTTATCTAAGGTAATATAGGCTTATTTCAATTAAAATATTTTATATATTTTTTTAATTTATTATTATTATTTTTTTATTTTTTTTTTTGTCAATAATTATAGATTAATTTGTGTTTATTTGGGAACTTTTAATATATTTTATGTAGGACGGTATATAGATAAATAAAACTTAAAAAAAATTTGACAACCCAACCGAAACCAAAAACATTCATATTCGGGTTCGACTCCCGTCAAATACATTGTTGTTTTATTGTTTTTAATTTCTTAGTTTCTTATATATATATATATTTTATAAATACATTATTTTTATATATTTTTTTATAACACTTTATTATTATTTTTATTTTTCTAAGGTAATATAACTTTATAATAAGCTAACAGTAATTATTATATCACAATTTTTATATTTATATATATACATATATATATATATATATATATATATATATATATATATATATATATATATATATATATATATTTTAAGTAATATAGGACTATTTCAATTAAAATATTTTTATATTTTTTTAATTTATTATTATTATTATTATTTTCAATAATTATAGATTAATTTGTGTTTGTTTGATAACTTTCAATATATTTTAGGTAGGATTGTATTCCAATAATTATAAATATGGATAAATAAAACTTAAAAAAAAAAATTTGACCCAACCCAAAAATAGAGAGTTAGGTTGTGGTAAGTTTCGGGTTGGGTTACCTATCCAACCAACCCGAATTTTTGGGTTGGGTAAAAAAAAATCCTCCAACCCGAATAATATACACCCCTAAGTTTTAGTATCATAACATTTTATGTATGTACATTCATTTTAGGCAATCTTCCCTGTTCTCCCTAATTTCCAAATACTAAAAAATATTTGTCGTGACATCGAGACATTAATAATTTAGCTCAAGTTAATTCATAGAAGTTACCCATCTTCAAAAGAGACGAATACTAGAGGTAAAGAAAGACACTAAAATATGTCGCTATTTATACTCTAAATTTGGTAATCAGGTATTTAATTTATAATTTAAGTATGAAAAAAATCTAAAATTATTAAAGATCCTTTTGAAAAAGTAGTGATCTAACCCCATGATAGAACAGCTCAGGCCAAATAGAGTAAATAAACTAAGCAAACTTCCTATAATTAGGAAGAACAGAGATACTTAACGACCCATTCAAAAGAAACAGCTCATGGTACGAGAATACTTCTGTCCTGTCTTGTCAGAACAGAGATACTTAACGACCCATTCAAAAGAAACAGCTCATGGTACGAGAATACTTCTGTCCTGTCTTGTCTCTCACTCCTAAATTTAGGATTTAAGTATTAATGATGAGATTACAGCTCCATTTGCCTTTTTTTGTTCGTCCTACTAAAATCTGTCCATCCCATTTTTGTGGGATATTCATCTCAATCTCAACCCAAAACCCACAAGCGTAACTCCATTTGAAGCCTGATGATTGTTCTTCATCACTTGAATCCCTCCACAATTGAATCCTTCCATTTTTTCAACCCCTCTTTGCTTATCATCAATCATGAACCTCAATGTTTTTGTGTTCTGGATCATACAGATCTCCGTCCATGCAGTTCCAGTTGTTTCTGAAACCAAAGCGTCCGACGGTAACCAACATCCCCTTCTCTTTCTCTTCCTCTCAATTTTATTCCCTTTCCTTTGTATTTTTCATGATTCATTGCATTTTGTTCTCACTTGTACCTAAATTATATCAGAACGTTCTTCATACATGTTATCGGTACAGATTCGAAAAGGTTACTAATCTCTTAACCATCGCGTAACGTTACGATTGACATTTTCTTATACTTTAACCAACCGGGTTAGGTTAGAATCAGACTCGTTCGGTTATGTGTGGAAATGTTTTGTAACAGCCCAAACCCATCGCTAGCCAGCTCGTTACATATCACCCCTCACAGTTTTAAAACACATCTAGTACAAAGAATGTCTAGCACTACTCCGACCCGTTGTTTGGTGACTAATTCTGATACCATTTTATAACCTCACGCTGTTTGGTGACTGACTCTGATACCATTTTATAATCTTGCACTGTTTGGTGACTGACTCTGATACCATTTTATAATCTCGCACTGTTTGGTGACTGACTCTGATACCATTTTATAATCTCGCACTGTTTGGCGACGGACTCTTATACCATTTTATAACCTCGCACTGTTTGGCGACGGACTCTTATACCATTTTATAACCTTGCATTGTTTGGTGACTGACTCTGATACTATTTTATAACCTTGTACTGTTTGGTGACTGACTTTGATACCATTTTCTAACCTCGCACGGTTTAGTGATTGACTCTGATACCATTTTATCACATCACACTATTTGGTGACTGACTCTGATAACATTTTATAATCTCGTACGGTTTGGTGACTCACTCTGATAACATTTTGTAAAATCCCAAGCTCGCCGTTAATCGATATTGTTTGTTTTGTCCTGTTACGTATCGCCATCAACCTCACGGTTTTAAAACGTGTCTGCTAGTTAGATTCTATTTGTATACTTGATGGAATTTGACATATCTTAACTAAACCCTTTGCACGGGCTCGTTGCGTACTTGTATGGTCCATGACCCTTTGCACCCTTATAAGGGATGCTTTGTTCCCTCTCCAACCAATGTCGAATCTCACGTGTATAATTAGATTCTGTCTGTACACTTGATGGAATTTGGCATATCTTACTTTCAATTACTTTCAATTTCGAATCTGTAATTGTATGGTTCACGAAACGAATTACTTTCAATTTTTTTGGTTGCAGTTTCTGCATTGAATGTGATGTTTAGCAGTTTAAATTCACCTTCACAACTCTCTCGTTGGAAGTCAAGTGGGGGTGACCCATGTGGGGATTCTTGGGAAGGGATCAAATGCTCAGGATCATCCATCACTGAAATGTAATTTCAAAACTTTACCTCTCTTACTGTTCTTTAAATTACCTTGGATTAACTTGTAAGGGTTAAATTTTGGCGTTTTTTACCCTACAGAACTTTATCAAACTTTGAACTGAGTGGAACATTAGGCTACCAGCTTTCAAATTTGGCTTCTGTCACCTCCTTGTGAGACCCACTTAATCATCTAAACATGTTTTTGTTAATTAAACGACATCAGTTTAAGGTAATAAGCATGCTGTTCCTTGTGATAGTACAGTGATTTGAGCAATAACAACCTGAATGGCGATATCCCTTATCAGCTTCCCCCTAATGCAGTTTCCATGTAAGTGTTTCGTATATGCAGTGTCTGTTTGAATCGACGTCCTAATAAGTCGTTCAATTAACACGTTTTTCGATATATGTAGCGATCTTTCCACAAACAGCTTCACCGGAAGCGTGCCGTATTCAATATCTCAGATGTCTAATCTTCAAGTTTTGTAAGTATCTTAAACTAACATGTTCTTGTAGCTTCATATGTTTGCCACATGATCTTATGATGATTTGTCTGTCGGCTGCAGAAATCTTGGGCATAATCAGCTGAGCAACCAATTGAGTGACATGTTTGGCAACGTTTCTAAACTCAACAGGATGTAAGTAACCTTAAAATATGTAAAATTATCCATTCATTAATGTTTTACCTTAACAAACCAATGTTTTTTTTTTTACAGGGATCTCTCATTCAACTCGATTTCAGGAGACTTACCTCTAAGTTTTAAGAATCTTTCAAGCCTTACTGTATTGTGAGAAGCAAATTAAGATTGGTAGACTGAGAGTTGTTGAGTTTTTTACTGTCAGTAATTAACGTTTTTACTCGTTTTTATAGGCATATACAAAATAATGGATTTACAGGTTCTATTAATGTTCTTGCTGATCTTCCACTCAAAGATTTGTAAGTAGCTCCCAACATAAGATAATGCATGTCTGTTTCAAGAGTTTTGAAGCCTTTTAACTCATTTGTTGATGTTTTGGCTGAAGGAGAGTCACAAATAACAAGTTTACTGGATGGATTCCTGATAGCCTTCAGGACATAGATAATTTGGAGTAAGTATGGCACTGCCTTTTTTTCACTCTCTCTTTCATGCACGAACGACGAGAGCCGAGAGATCCAAACCTTTGATCGATAATACATGTTTTATGTCCGTTGAGCTGTACTCATATGGGTTTTTTCAAATTTAGAAACTTAGGAAGTTAAATGAAAGAAACGGAAACTTAGAAGAAATATTTGGCAACCCTATGAGACAAAAGTTTCTCGTTCCTCTCCTACAAATGTGAGAGCCCACATTGGTTGAGGTGGAGAACGAAATATTCTTTATAAGGGTGTGGAAATCTCTCCCTAGTAAATGCGTTTTAAAAACCTTAAGGGGAAGCCCGAACGGGAAATCCCAAAGAGGACAATATCTGCTAGTGGTGGGTTTGGGTTGTTAGAAATGGTATCAGAGCCAGGTTTCGGGCGGTGTGTCAGTGAGGGCGTTGGCCCCAACGGGGGTAGATTGTGAGATCCCACATCGATTAGAGAGGGGAACTAAACATTCCTTATAAGAGTGTGGATACCTTTCCCTAGTAGATGTGTTCTAAAAATCTTGAGGAGAAGCCCGAAAGGAAAAGCCCAAAGATGACAATATCTGCTAGAGGTGGGCTTGAGCTGATACAAATGGTATTAGAGCCAAGTTTCAAGCGGTGTGTCGGCAAGGACGCTGGGTCTCCAAGGGGGGTGGATTGTGAGATCCCACATCGGTTGGAGAGAGGAACGGAACATTCCTTATAAGGGTGTGGAAACCTCTCACTAGCAAACACGTTTTAAAAACCTTGAGGAGAAGCCCAAATAGGACAATATCTACTGGCAGTGGGCTTAGACCGTTACAACAAACTTTCTATAAAGATCGTTATAAATGAATTGAAACATGATGCTTTAAATGCAAGTTGATCGATTCTTGTTGTCTTTTTTGTTTGATGTTTATACTTTGGTGAAGAACTGGAGGCAATTCATGGTCATCTGGACCAGCTCCTCCTCCACCACCAGGAGATATGGCAAAGAAAAACAAGAACAAAAACGGGTCAAGCAACTCATCCCCAAAAGTAAGTGGAATGGCCATAGCAGGAATAGTGATGGGAGTATTAGCAGTAATCGCCATAATCATAGCATTGTTCTCAAGAAGGTCACCTCCTTCCCACTTTCTTGATGAAGACACAAACCAACACAGCGGATCCTTAACTCCACGCACACCCCATCAACCGTCCAAAGATTTGCACAATAACACTAACAATAATAATGCAATTGAAAGAAAATCATGCACCTCAGATGTCTCTGTTGACATAAAGCCTCTCAGTGGGCTTAGGCCTCCTCCACCTTTTGATGCTGTCAAGCCCTCCGGTGATACTCAGCTTGCAAGCCGCCTCAGTTCCAGGAGGAGCACTTCCGTGCGTGTCATTTCCTACTCATTGGCTGATTTGCAGACTGCTACTGCTAACTTCGCTACTGGTCGCCTTCTTGGTGAGGGCTCAATTGGACGTGTTTACAAGGCCAAGTATGGAGATGGGAAGGTAATTCAAATCCCCTTTTTTGAACAATGAACATAAACCATTACTAAACGCTATCAAACAATTCTTTAGGTGTTGGCAGTGAAGAAGATTGATTCATCAGTTTTTCAAGGAAGAACAGAGGAGTTTTCTGCAGTAGTTGCTGTCATTTCAAAGCTTCATCACACCAACATTACAGAAGTTGTTGGGTTCTGTTCAGAGCAGGGACAGCACATGTTGGTTTATGAATATTTCATGAATGGCTCACTTTATGAGTTTCTTCACATGTCGGATGACTTCAGTAAGCCACTCACATGGAACACTAGAGTCAAAATTGCTTTGGGGACTGCAAAAGCTCTTCAGTAAGTGCTTCTGAACTATATCATCTCAATGCTTCTTATTCTTCTCTTGCTTTTTAAGTGCGTTACAATGTGATCGGACCTCATAATTTTGCACCGTTAGATATATAAGAGAAGAAACGACCAAAGTTTTACAATTTTTAGATTTTAAAGTGTGACTCATGGCTCAACGGTAAATAACATATGTTCATTTTGTGATATCTCACATTGGTTGGGGAGGAGAACGAAATACCCTTTATAAAGGTGTAAAAACCTTTCCTTAGCAGACGCGTTTTAAACCCTTGAGGGGAAGCCAAAAGAGGATAGTATCCGCTAGCGGTGGGCTTGAGCCGTTACAAATGGTATCAGAGCCAGACACTGGACTATGTGCCAACGAGAAGGCTGATCCATGAAGGCGGGTAGACACGAGACGGTGTGCCAATAAGGGCGCTGGGCCCCGAAGGGGTGTGGATTTGGTGGGGGTCCCACATCAATTAGAGAAAGAGGAACGAGTGTCAGCGAGGACGCTGGGCCCTGAAGGGGGTGGATTGTGATATCCCACATTGGTTGGGGAGGAGAACGAGACACCCTTTATAAGGGCGTGGAAACATTTCCCTAGCAGACGCGTTTTAAAGCCTGAAAGGGAAAGCCCAAAGAGAACAATATCTGCTAGCGGTGGGCTTGGACCGTTACATATTTCCTTCTTTTTTACAATTGCACTTTTTTCAGGTACCTTCACGAGGTTTGCTCGCCATCCATAATTCACATGAATATCAAGTCCTCTAATATATTGCTCGACACGGAACTCAATCCCCGTCTCTCGGACTACGGTTTAGCAGCATTTTACAAGGTTCAATACTTCTCCATACTATATAAACTGTGCTATAAAAGACTGTGTTTGAGAATTAAACAATTGTGATTTGATTAATTTCAGCTAAGAAGTGGAAGGCCTGGAGGTGGATATGATGCACCAGAATGCACACAGGGTTCAAGCTACACAATGAAGAGTGACATTTACAGTTTGGGAGTGGTGATGTTGGAGCTGTTGACCGGGCGGATGCCTTATGACTCGTACGTTTTATACTCTATTCGTTTTACTTTGGTCAAGTTCCACTAAACAAAATTAACTCTGTTTAGCTTTCGAAACGTTAGCTCGGATAGAACTAAGACCAAGAACGTATCAGACACGACCCTGAATGAACCGAACTTGAAATTTAACGTGTTACAAATGATACAAATGATTTGATTTGAATGTGTTTAGTGGGAAGGCAAAGATGGAGCAATGTCTAGTCCGATGGGCAACCCCACAGCTGCATGACATAGATGCATTGGACAAAATGGTAGACCCTGCATTGCGTGGGCTATATCCGCCGAAGTCCGTGTCTAGATTTGCAGATATCATCGCCCTTTGCGTGCAATCGGAGCCTGAATTTCGGCCTCCCATGTCGGAGGTGGTGCAAGCCTTGGTGACTCTGGTTCAACGATCAGCATGAATGTGAGAGATGATCTTTGAACCTCTCAAGGAATGGATGACTATGAGTATTAATTTTATGTGTTTCATTCATTCAATACAAATAAGTCTCACGTTCAGAGAATTGGCCGTTCTATTCGTTCACACATTCATTCGTGGCTATGTAGTTTTTAGTTTACATCAACTCTTTTCCCTTTATATTTCCACATGAATAGCCTTAGACTATTCTATTAGTGATTCAATCCTATGTAGCATGTTCACTTTCTTTCTTGTCTAATAAATTTAGTGCTTCTTTTTAGCTCCTTTAGCCAACCTTTGAGGTTAGTAAGAGCGACGTGTCTTAGTTACACTTTAGTAATTGTCGGTTTATGGCATGTTATTATCATAATGAGTACAACTTAATGGTAATTGACGTGTACTCATTTTCTTGAGATCAGAGGTTCAAATCTCTATATTAAATAGTAATTATAAGAGAGAGAGAAAGAGTAGGATAGGTGTGGTCCCAGACCTTTGGGTTGGGTTCAGTGGTGGTGTAAAGTGATGTCAACATGAGATTTTAGTTTGAAGAAGAAATCCCGAAGCAAAAGATGTAGGAGAAACTTTGACGGAGGAGACGCCAAGAGCCAACGAACCAAGAAGTAGTTTACGAGACTCTACAACATTGAAATCAACTGGAAACACATTGAGAAGTAGTTTACGAGACTCTACAACATTGAAATCAACTGGAAACACATTGAGAAGTAGTTTACGAGACTCTACAACTACGAGACTCTACAACATTGAAATCAACTGGAAACACATTGAGAAGTAGTTTACGAGACTCTACAACATTGAAATCAACTGGAAACACATTGTGAAGTAGTTTAATTGAGAAGTAGTTTACGAGACTCTACAACATTGAAATCAACTGGAAACACATTGTGAAGTAGTTTACGAGACTCTACAACATTGAAATCAACTGGAAACACATTGAGAAGTAGTTTACGAGACTCTACAACATTGAAATCAACTGGAAACACATTGAGAAGTAGTTTACGAGACTCTACAACATTGAAATCAACTGGAAACACATTGTGAAGTAGTTTATGAGACTCTACAACATTGAAATCAACTGGAAACACATTGAAGAGACCTAAAAGTCAACCTCAGTCTACAACATAGAGTTGTAATGAGTCGGTTGCCTAGGACGTCAACCAATTGAGTGGGGGAGGATGTCACAGTCATGCATGTCCAAGGCGTGTTGTCAATGGCAGCATGACGGATATCCCGGTCTTGCTTGTCCAAGACGTGTTGTCCATGGTTGCATGCCCGTTACAAACTCCTTTTATATTCTTTCATCCTAGATAGGTATTTGCCATTCCATATTGGGTCAGTATGAGGGGGATATAACTAGTTGTCAACTTCTTCCTACCCGATAGTTATATGCAGTAAGCCGTCGTTGTTGCCTTTTTGTTTACATTCTTATATAACACCATTTCCAATTTCTCAAATCTTGCTTTCAAAACTCTCTTTCGAAATCTCTCTGCCCCCGTTTTTTAAAACTTTCTTCTCAAACCGGGGCTAGAGGCTCGAGTCCGAGAAATTAGGCAAGATTTGTTCGACATAAAGACCTAGAGACCCCTATCAAACCCTTGACCAAGTCAAACAATGAAAACAAACATCTAACTATACCACTCAAATGTTGATCCGAGAAGGCTGGAAATAGGAGCCATGGACCTGAAACTACTCCAGAAACCTATCCTTAGTTCAGATTGTAGGCTGCAACTCGCCTGCATGATGCCAAAATCGCTAGTAATCGTTGGTCAGCCATACAGCAGTAAATTCGTTCCCGAGCCTTGTACACACCGCCCGTCACACTATGGGAGCTGGCCATGCCCGAAGTCGTTACCTTAACCGCAAGGAGAGGATGCTGAAGGCAGGACTAGTGAGTGGAGTGAAATCGTAACAAAGTAGCTGTACTGGAAGGTGCGGCTGGATCACCGCCAAAGATGATTAATGTCTGTCCACGAGAAACAAAAACGTTACGAAATCTAAATAAAGTAAAATAGTCCTTTTTCCAAAGTCATTTATGATGTGCCACACTATCAGCAGCAGCTCCACCATTTGTCCAAGTCTCTCAGGCTTCTTTTGCAAAAACAATTGACAAGCAATTGTTCCCACACCACTCACCCTTTCGACAACACATACTAGGTTGTCTTTTACAACGTTATAATTAATTATTACTCCTTCCACCAAAATCCTTCATGATTGCCTATTGGCTCTTGTTTTATCCATTCAGAAAAGCTTAAAATTTCAAACATAATGAATTTGAATAAGAACCAATTATGACGTGACACATCGTCAAACACATACTCTTATTCATTATTTCATAACAACTCCAAAACCGAACTGAACTGAACCGAAAGCGAAGGAGTTTGATAGATACATAATATATCAAAATTGGGCGACGAGTTGTTGTTCAAGTTCCATGTCCCTTAAGATTTGGCGAAAACCCGAAACTTGTTGCTTAAGGTTGACATTCTCTTGGAGAAGGAGCTGCTGAGACTCCATCAAACGGCTCACCTTCTCCTCAAGATCACGGTTCTCATTGCAAAGCCGAGCCAGTTGGGACCATAGCTGGTTCAGATGCTTCTGCTTCCTCATTCGGGACCTTCGAGCCGATTCTCGATTCGATATCATCCTCCTTTGCCTTCTTTCGTCCACCATTTTAGCTCGCTCCTCATCGCAACCGCTCGAGGCCATGTTCGGAAGATTATCGTTGTTGTCATCGGTTTGGATGGTCCAAAAGTAGCTTTCTTCTGGGACTTCACTTGGAAGAAGCATGTCTTTCTGGTTGTATTGTTGTGTCCAAATGGGAAGGTTGGTGGGGTTTTATAGGAAACTAAAACTAGCCTTCATGTATTAACCACAATACTCTTCACCACCATTATATTTAATTGTTAAAGAATACTATTTTTCTAATGTGCATGGGCACCTACGTGGCCCAATGAGAATTTTACATATTATTTCAGAAAAATACTTACCAGTATATCTTATTTGTATTTTTTTTTTAATTAGACTGTTGTGACACATGACAAATGCTTATAGTTTAATTATTATATTTGATCATGAAAAAGAAATATCTTTCTCAAAAACTTTATTTATTTATAATTTCATGGTTCATTATTAATGGCTAATGACACACTTTGTAGAGGTGTTCATATGACTCCAAAACTCAAAAAATTGAACTACCCAATCTAAACAGTATGGGTTAGGCTTGAATAAATCTTTTTCGATATGGTTGGTTGAATTTTTGAAAAATAAAAAATTTAGATCAGTTCGCGACGCGAGTAGGAACTAATGTGAAGATGGGATGCACAACCTAATTCAGCCATAACTTACCTCTGAGATTGTTATGAAAAATAAAAATATTTGTCATTGTGAAAGAAAATGATTTATATTTGAATTTTACAAGATTTTAGTTATTGGTGTGACATGTACTGTGAACAACTATAAAAATGAACAATTCGTCGACATAATCCAATTTACCGGTTATAACGGGTGTACATGACAACATTCTTCTCTCACTATTCGGGTCATTCGAGTCACCAACTCAACCAATCCAAAATCTCGAGCGGATTAAAAAAATTGAATAGTTCATAAAAAGAATATAGAGGCGAAATTGGAATTAAAAAATGAGGTTGAGGACATAATAGTCCAAAATTTTGTGTATCTAAATAATTAACTTTTTTTTTTTAAAAACAGTATGATTTTTCCACTGTCTCCACTAATTTTGTTTTGAAATCATATTCATTGATGAGATCATCTCTCACATATTGTATGATTGGTCCAAACAGGATAAGCTCGTCATAATCAATTCCATAACATCATTATCAACTCCCATTTAATTTATTTTTAATTATGTTTAGTTCACACTTGGTGTTCCCATTGTGGTTCTAAGTTGTATTGGTAGGTTTGTCTTTCGTTAAATTATTAATTAATATTGTTTACTTGTGTTGAGCATGCTTTGTTTAGGTTCTAATCCACCACTAATTTGGATGTTAAACATATGTTCATCATTTTTTTAACAACAAAATAACCCATAACCATGTTTTTCTTCCCCAACTTTAAGTGGATAATTTGTTGTTTTAAATATTTTAAGATATGAAGTTTGATGGAAGAAGATAGTAGTAATAATTTAATGTTTATTTCACAATTTTTTATTGTTAGAAACTTCACTTTCTTAATGCTGCTACTATCACTGTACATTTGTATTTATCATTTTTAAAGGAATACGCGTAGCAATCCAAGCCTACTACTAGTAGATATTGTCCGCTTTGGCCCATTACGTATCGTCGTCAGCCTCGCAAGTTTAACCTCTAGCAGAGAGACATCAGAGCATTATGAGGCCCTAGAACAGAGAGACCTTCATGCCCCACTTGCGGTACTAGTCATTCAGGTGGATGTAGAGTGAACACAAACGCGTTCTAAAACCGTGGAGCTGACGGCAATACGTAACGGGCCAAAACATATAATATCTATTAACGGTGGGCTTGAGCTATTACAAATGGTATCTGAGTTAGACGCCGAACGATGTGCCAGCAAGGATATTAGGCTCCGAAGGGGGTGGATTGTGAGATCCCACGTTAGTTGAAGAAGGGAACAAATTATTTCTTATAAAAGTGTGAAAACCTCTCCCTAATAGACGAGTTTTAAAACTATGAGGCTGACAACAAAGCTTTAAAACCCGTCCCTAGTAGCCCTAAATCCTATATTCCAGTCCACAAAGCTTCATTAATACAACTCCTCAGGAACTTAACAAAGCTCCATTAATACAAGCTTGCTCTAGATGGGCAGTAGCAGAAATTCGAATCTCCCTAACCTAACAGTTACTTCCTTCCATTTTATCCAATTGGACAAAATCAATGGCATACATTCTTTGCAAATCCAAGCATTTTCCACATTCAGACAGGCATATTTATTGAACCTAGAACATGATAACATATGAAAAAACAATCTGTATCTGCTCGCCAATGCGTGCGAAAATATCAGGTGTAAACGTTCCAGTGAGCCTAACCAATTTCTTCCTCCGTTCAGAAAAGGAAAAAGTAAATGGCGTATTTATCATCGTGAACGATTTAATATCTGTCGAATGTTTACATTGCCTTCTCCAGCCACCTTGGCAATGTCAATGAAGTCTTCAGACCAAGTCTAGTAAGGAATATGGAGTACAAAAGATGAAGCAAAAACATGAAGCATCCACAGTTCAGCATTACCTTTCAGAGCACAGAGAGGAGAAATCAATCAAAGTTTAATGAAATCTCTACAATGCATGTCATACAAGTACAACCTACATTGCACCAGCTTCATTGAAGAATACAAAACATACCAGTGTCCCAAAAATAGCGTATATTGCATTCATTGATGGAATCAAGTTTACACCCGAGGCAGTGAAGATAAGGGTGAGCGAAGCGTGAATATTTATAGTGATCTGCATGAACACGAAAGGTATTTCGAGACTTGAGAGGTGATTTCTTTGAAGTATAGCAGCAGAGATTCAGATTAGCTTGTTACCAGAGCTAGTATGTTCTCTCTTATCAAGAATGAAGATATTAAGACATAACCCACTGCCCCGAGTGCCCGAACCTAAACGCACAGTCATGTACTTGGTTAGTAGAATGGATTAAAAAAAAACTAGCAGACATCATTTGTTCAGATGGGCGTTTGAAAAGAGAGGGAAACAATACGATTGTGCACAGAAAGATTGAGGTACTCCAATTTGCTCCAAGCCTGAGAAGATACAAAACAGGAAAGCAGTAATTTTTACTATTTTTCTGTTCTTATTAGGATAAGTTCAAAGCGGAGAAGTGAAGTAAATGTCTCCCCATTAATGCCTTTGGTCAGTGCATCATCGCCAAACTAACAAAAGAAACTCGACCAACTAGCATGCTGAGATTTCACAAGCTTTATGAATCCTTATTGGCCTATGCCTAAATCGAGGTTAATTATGTATTTATGGATAGTCATATGCATAGTAAATCACCTACCTCCACAAGGAGCCCATTGTCAACCCCACTAAACCATGCCTAAGCTGCACAAGGAAGCATACAACAACGTCAGGCATTCTGCTGAAGAAGGTAAACTATTAAATACCGTTCCCCTCTCAATACGATAAGGGTTAAGGAATGTCAAAAGATATATGGAAAATACACAAAAAGGAAAAAACATCAAGCCCAAAATGTTACAAAAACACTCTGGACAAGGCACTACAAGCTGAAGCCACAAAAGCTATCTTGTATCAGATTTTCTCTAATGATCTACTAACACTTAGCCTCTCTATACCACTAGGAATGCAGCAATGTTAAAAAGGTATGTATAGTTGAAAAGAAAAACATTTTATCTAAACTTGTATTTGCAGAGACAGGATCAACAATTCTACGATTCAAATCATAATTTGCAATACTCCACAATATTAACTTCAAAAAATCATCGAACAAATGCCTTTAGGATTGTTATTTTAGAACGTTCAAATTGATTAAGGTGATTATTTTTGTACTTTAACATAATTATGTCTGATAATATCTGATTATGTACTTTGTATAGTTTTTATGACCACTTATTTAATCATAGGGGAGAGCAGCCTCAAGGCCACCTTTTTAGCTTTTTAAAGCTGGTATAAGAAGGCCATTGACCTGATTTTTCTCTTTTTGTTCTACATAAGATAGAATTTACAAGGTGGATAGGTTAAAAGGCAACCTCTTTTATATGATATTATTATTTCTGAAACAAGAAAATAAATCCACAGGCAATTAAGATTTGAGAAGATGAACTATGAAAGCACGCTCACCAGAAATGTTAAAGCTTTCACCGGACCAGACAAAACCAGCAACAGCAAGAATGTTGCCACCTGTCTTGAAAGAAGATCAGATGCGACAACTTAGATGTAATACGAATAACAAGACAACATAAAATCAATTGTTGAACAACTGAATCCTTGGAAGCTACAGACCATGGTTTTTCTCCCCGCTGCTATGCCCCATCTCATTGAAGAGATTACTATCGGTAGACAGAAGAAACAGCCGAAGTAATTCTGTCCAATATCAAGTAAAAACAGAACGAAATTAAAATTCGAGAAACTAAACTGCTACTAAAAGATCGAAGAAATCTAAGAGGTCACTTCATCTAAGTTAATAAAAAACATAAATTTCTTTGAACACGTGAAAATTTATGAGAAAGAAGCATGTTCTATTTGTTGAGGATTATTGAAAGGAGTAGTCCCACGTTGGCTAAGTAAGAGAAAGAAAGAACATGAGTTTATAAGTAATGAACACTATCTCCATTGATATGAGGCATTTTGGAGAAACCAAAGAGAGCTTATGCTCAAAGTGGACAATATCATACCATTGTAGAGAGTCGTGATTCCTAACGATATTATGAGAACTTTCATAAACAAATTGACATCCATGTTAAAGAAAACTATAAGACAAGTTTATTGGGCACTTCAAAATATGAGATAACTTTGGTTGGTTTCCTCAAGAAAAAGATCGCTTCAAAATGGCATATACATCACACATCCTCAATCATCATCATATAAAGACCAAGAGTTCATTGGGAACCTGTTACATTTTCAAATTTCCCACGGATAATACTTTTGTTGTTCATCGTCAAAGTCAGTTTGTTGCTAGACCCAAGACCATTTACAAGCTTGTTGTTCATCATGGGAATTCTCTTCAATTTATTGGGGGTAGATTTAAGAGTGTACCCTAAACAAGCCCCATGGTGTCATGTTTCAGAAAACTATCATATTGAATTTTTCTTTCAAAAAAATCACATTAGAAGTATTAAGTAATCACATACGATTAGGCAATTGTGACAAATTTGAAGTGGATAAAGTAGTTTCTTGTTTCAAGGGAAAAAGGACATTTCAAACTGACATCAAAGAAGAACCAACCACCACACGGATGGACTTGGGGTATCCGTCTTCTTGAAGAAAAATAACCAGAAAAACATCATGTATGAAGAACAGGAGACGGAAATCATAGAAACAGCAGCAGAGGGGGAAAGAAGAGAATTCGCAGAAACTGAGAGATACAAACCTCGAGAGCAAGTGAATTGCTCAAGAAGTAGACCAAACCATTAAGTGCAGCGAACATGGAGCATTCCACCATCGCCAGCGTCTTCTTATAGACAACTCCATTCTCAGACAAGTCTTCCAAATCCGACAAAGAAGTGGGGTTTTGGCCCTCGAAGCTATAAACTTTTGCCACCGAATTCGAAAATCTAGTGGACTTGACACTGGATTTAGAAGCAATGAAGGTCGGAAAAGAGAGGGAGACGGATTCGAAGCTAATTAATCTGAGTTTGGAAGAGATTTTAAGAAGAGGAAGAGGAAGATGAACATGAGCTGTGGTCGAGGTCGAGGTCGGTTTTGGTGGGAAAATACATGATGTGGAGACGGACGGATAAAGGTTTCCAGAAATCATGAGGAACAAGAGTTGAGAATCAAAAACCTCAAGAAGTTGAAGATTTACGCGAACTGTCACTCTTCCCTCTGGGCTTTTCCGGGACGGAGGTTGGGCCTTAGCCTTACTCCCACGTTGTAGGCTTCTTTCTACGTTGGAGGAAATATCAAACACTCGTCAAACCTTCACGCTACCCTTCTAAACCGATTTACATCGCACTACCATCGTTCCCACCAAACCCCCGGTTGTAAGGAACCCGTGGTTCGAGAGGGACTTAGTTTCATCATCATAAATGAATAAGATGCAATTATAATTATGAACATCTTGGAAAATAAAGATGAGCTTGCATGTAGCCGTTATAATCTTAGACATAAATTATCCTATCGTGCACGTGAATGTAATTATAGGGTTTAGGGTTTGGTCATATTTGTGTATTGACTCCATGAGAGGTCGTTCAGAAGGGATCCATATAGTTCAATTTTAGGACATAACATCGTGGTTATTCTCTCGAGAAAGCTCAATAGCCCATTCTTCTAGCTCTAGAGCGCTGAAAAGTTACTAATGCGACAAGACCTAGTATGAGCGAAAAGATGACTACTAGAATTGGAAACTTAGGGATGATGTAAACCATGTTTGTTCGACAATCCAGATATAAAAGGAGACCCACCTATGCACGTCTACTGATGCTCTTTCAAAAGCCTAAGTTGGTCATTGGCTAAAATTTGTTCCTACCCACGAAGTTCAATAAGGAATTAGGCATGACGCTCACCCTTTTAGCTCATATGTAATGTAGCTCACAACTCGTCCTAAACCATACCCAGCTTTCTAAGCCGTATAATTTGGACGGTTACAAATGGCATCAGAGCCAGACACAGGACGATCGCCAACTTTCTCACTGTTCCCTGAAGGGGGTAGACACGAGGCAGTGTACTAGTAAGGATGCTGGGCATCGAAGGGGGTGGATTTGGTGGCAGTCCCACATCGATTGGAGGAAGGAAAGAGTGCTAGCGAGGATGATGGCCCTGAAGGGGGATGGATTGTGAAGTCCCACGTTGGTTGGGGAGGAGGACAAACCACCATTTTAAAGGGTGTGAAAACCTTCCCCTCACATGAAGAAAAGCCCCAACAATATCCACTGGCATACTAGCAAATATCAATAAAGGTACATTTTCGTTTTTTTAAAATAATTATTATGGGCATGAATGTTCAATTGAGAAAAAGCCAAGAAATGAAAGAAGTGAAATTGCAGAGAGGCCCTCAGAACAGACATTGTTGTTAGCCGCACGCGCTTCGTTATCGGACACAGCCCCTTTCTTGCGGTGGTTCTCATTCTTCCTGCGGCCGAGAGACGCACCAGCAAATCCGGCCTCTATTTTATCGTTCTCAAAATCCAATTCCCCAACTAATCTGTAGCGGATTCTTTATTCCCCTTCACAATCTTGTCCTAATTATTCGACCCATCTCGCCCTTCTTCAGCAATGGCTGTCAATTCGTCGACCCATCTCGCATCTCCGCCGCTTCGTTCACTGCCTCGTTCCTCCTTCGCTTTCTTTTCTCGCATCTTCTTGCACCCTGTTTCGCCCACTGGCTTCCCTAGGCGGAGCCTCGTTTCAGTTCGTGCTCAGGCGCCGACTCCCGATGGCTATGGATCCAAGCAGCCGCTCAGTTTGGGGGAATCTGGACCTTTGTTCGAGTCCACTGGTTCGCCTTCGTCGTCATCGGTTATTGATTTCCTTACATTGTGCCATCGGCTTAAGGTATCCACACAATTTGGTCACGTGACGCAGATTGGCTAATGAGAAATTGGGGGAACTTTTTTTTCCCCCTTATTATAAAGAATTCGTTAACCTTTTGTTTTTGCCTGATTCTTGGAGATATCAAACGAACCACAATTAGAATTCATTTCCATGTTCTTTTCATTGTTGGCAGAGGAACTGGTATTTGTTTATGCGTGTTATGTGAGAAAAGTGTTGACCTGAAAATTATCTCTATTAGAGGTAATAATCACTTGGCTATTCTCTCTTTCTTGTAGACTACGAAGAGAAAGGGCTGGATCAATCATGGAATAAATGGTCCTGAATCAATTGCTGATCATATGTACCGCATGGCTTTGATGAGTTTGATAGCCGGTGATCTTCCAGGAGTGAATAGAGAAAGGTTGCACTTTTTCACCTGAGCCTTTAAAAGTCTATTATGAAGCTCTTTCTATTGAACTTTGTTTCACCATGACCTTGTTGTCCTTTGATCAGGTGTATCAAGATAGCTCTTGTGCATGATATTGCTGAAGGTACTTTCTGACACAATTTCTTATCATTTCCAGAACTTAATTCTAGCAATTATGCAGATTCTCGTCGAGTAATGATAATGATATTGCTATTCAACTATTGGAGATAGACTTATTCTTATTCAGTTTGTTTTGAGTGGCATCCTGACTTAGTTTCTCCTTGTTAAGGTTCAATGTCAATCAGTAAAACTTGAGAGAAGTTTACGAGGGATTTCTTACGGAAGTGGGTCGATGAGGGGATGGGGATGGGTCTCATTTAGTGAGGTGGGATGTGGTGGCGGAGCCATTGGATCTTTGGGTGTCGGTATAGGCAATCTAATGGCATGAAATGAGCCATTGTATCTCTGTTTAACCATGGTGAGAGTCGGGGATTGAACCATCAACCTCTAGATGGTAGTTTGTGTCTTATCTACTGAGTTAGGTTGGATTGACTATATGAGTTTTATATCTGACGCCTTTTTATGTTAAACCCCATTTTATAGTGCTTTATATTTGAGTCTGCTTTCCTTTTTTCATTCTAATTCTACATTGAAACTCCAGATACTTGTTTTTCAACCCTTTTTTTACCATTTAACGATGACTTGTATTACATAAAACACATCGTTCAACTACTGTTTATCTCGAGGTTGCTGCTGTTTATTTATGACTTATATGGTGTCACTTTTGTACATATATTGCAACCAAATTTTGGGCTGTTTACTTTAAATCGTCTATTTCATGATCCTAAGTGAGTTAGACACTACGAACACCGCTTGTGACTGGATATAGGAGGAATGTACATGTTTTTTTTTCTCCTGAGTGAGTTGATATTGTATTTGGACTATGATAGCTATTGTTGGAGATATTACGCCATCTGATGGAGTGCCGAAAGAAGAAAAGAGCAGAAGAGAGTCAGCAGCTTTAAATGAAATGTGCCAACTTCTTGGTGGAGGCATGAGAGGTACGAAAATATTCCTATGAGATTTGGGTTTGGTTAGTCGTCGGAAAGTATTGGCATTAAATCATGCTTCCTTGATCTTTTTGGACCTTTTTTTTAGCTGAAGAGATCAAAGAACTTTGGACCGAGTACGAAAACAATTCTTCATTGGAGGCTAATCTTGTGAAGGACTTCGATAAAGTATGTTGTTTGATCTCGATCTCGATAAACTATCTGCAAATTGTATTTCATGTTGGTTCCATAAGCTTCTTTTTTCTTTATAGTACGAATGTCAAGGTAAGCATTCGAACTTCCGACTTCGAGGGAAGGAGTAAATGTGTTATGCTTATGTTAGTGGTTATGTCAGATTAAGAACACTCCTTTGCTGAACGTCGTGTATTTTGTAGGTTGAATTGATCCTTCAAGCATTTGAATATGAAATAGGTAACTCCAAAACCACGTTCTGGTTGCACTACAAACATTAGCTGATTGAAATTTGAGATTTGACATGAATTAATTACATTGGCAGAACATGGGAAGGAGCTTGATGAGTTCTTCCATTCAACAGCTGGTACACTCTACTTGTTTTACCATATTAAGTTAAACTATAAATTTATTCCATAAATTTTGATGATTTTGTTTTCCAGTCCCTTAACTTTAGAAAGTTTCAATGACGCTATGAATACTGCTGTGCATTTTCCAGGAAAATTTCAGACTGATGTAGGAAAGAGTTGGGCAGCTGAGGTATTGTCCAGAAGGAATTCAAGATTGACAAACAGACATAATTGATGATCTTCTTTAGGTACTTCTTCCTTTATTGTTCATCCAACTCACAATACACAAGTTAAGAAAGTTGGAATTTGTGTATCTTAGAACAACACACTCTCCTGGTGATGCCTGCTGGGAGAAGTGGCTTTAGTTATTATCATCATCATCATATTTCTAAATTTAGGGTTCTTCGGTTAAATTATATATTTAATCGATACCTATTTGGTCTTTAATTTTGATTCGTTGGGAGAAGTGTAGCTAACTAGTTAAACTATACATCATTCATCAATAGATCAAAGGTTTGAATCCTCTCTATCCCATTAGATCAAGAAGCCAAGGATCGATTTTAGAACATCAAGTTAAAGGCTCGATCAAGAACGTCAATAAGTCAAAGGTTGATACAAGAACATCAATAAGTTGAACGTTGACTCAAGAACATCGATCTCTTGTCGATATAAGAATATAGGCCAAACCTAACAAGATCAATAAGCCAAAGATCCACCCAAAGAAAATTGATGTGTGAAGCTGAAGATTGAAGCTTGAGAATATAGGTAGTTTAGGTCTCAAGTTAAGTAAAATAATAAGAAAACAATAGATTACATATTCAATTTGAGGTTACTTTATGAATCAAAATTTTCTAGAAATCTCTAAAAATTTACACGAAATTTAATATTATTTTAATGAATATGTTTCATTCACTTTTCACATAAACACGAGTATATTTGTATTGGAACAAAATTTCTAAAATGTTAGAAAATTGTTCACGAATAAGTTAATGGAAATATAATAGTTTTGAATTGTTTAGAGTACATATTCTTAATTAATGTGTTCAAATCATAGCTCAACATCTACAGAGGTGATGAAGAAAAGTACCATTTTGTTTGTGTGATTCTAGAATCCAGACTTTGCTTAGATTTGGCACCGTTGGTCCATGATACCCAAAAAGGAAAGACATTTTAGTTTTCGTTGGCCTTCAACCTCAACATTCCCATGTCATCTGTCAAAGCCTGTATGGATGCTATACAAAAAAAGTTAGATTTGAAGCTAAGCAATGATGCAAAGGAAAATTCCATTTTGCTACTTTCTTTGCTTCACCTTTCCTAATACCTCCCCTCATCCCAAATCCATTTTCAAGACAGGGAACTAACTCCTCAACAAGCAATGTCTTCCTCTTTTGATCATCTTCTTCTCCTCCATCACTTCCTTCCTTCAACCATTTTCCGCCGCCATGGAAGATATGAACACCCTAGCCGCCGACTGCATTGTCATATGCTGTTGCTGCCAATGCCTGGCGTTGCATATCCTTCTCCTTCTGTTGCTCAAGCTTCCCTGTAAACTCGTTCGAAAAACGAGAGACTTCGCCAAAAGAAGGCTAAGAATGAGAGAAAAAGAGGAAAAGATGGTAATGGAAGATGAGGTTAGAGGCATTAGTAATGGAAGCTGTATGAGAAGTGAAGAAGATGGGTTGGGTTTGAGTTGTTGTATGGAAGAGATTGAGAGGGTGATGCAGGATTTGCATGAGAAGGGAGAGTTTGGTTTTGGAAGCTTTTGGGGAAGGAAGGGTAACTCAGTTTCAGGTTCCTGCAGAGATGAAGAGCCATTTGACCCCACGGATGTACAGTATCAATTAATTCAAGTAATACCTTCTACATGAGATGCCCTTTCTGTTTCTCCTTCTATATCCATTCTTCATTTCCTGCTGTTTTTCTGCCAAAATTGACCAAAACATCAGAAAGAGAATAACTTAGTAAATAAAAAGTTTTTTCTTCTCTCTCTCTTTTCCCCTTTCCTTTGTATGAGAGAGAGAGAGAGAGAGAGAGAGAGAGGGAGGGGCTCAAACTCAGAGTAGCCTGTGAATCTATCAGCAAACAATTATATTGAAATAGAATTAAAGAACAACAGGAAGGGCTGTGCTCATTATTGTGGCATAAATACATGATCTAAAGCTCATCTCTGAGCTGTCTATTATACAAAGTACGTGGAAAAGGAAAAAAAAAAAAAAAAAAAAAAAAAAAAAAAAAAAAAAAAAAAAAAAAAAAAAA